CCAGGAGGTGGATAGTGCAGGTTCCTCACCTTCCTATCATGTCTAAAAGACAGGAGTTTTTTTGAAGCACCAGATGTTAGAAGATACTGCCTGAAACTATCAAAGAGACCAAGACTAGAGAGATGTGAGTAGGGCACCATGTGAGACACATGATGAACATCTTCTGGTTTACTATTCTTCCTACATGAGACAGAAGCAGCACCCCCAAATTAGCTTCAGTTTCTTCAAATGCACTTTCTTCCTGCCCAGCAGAAGACAGAATGGCTTCCCCGAGCTGGAGAACATGCTTGGGCCATGGCCTGATGCCTTCAAGCAGAGAATGAAGGAGTGGGAGAATTCTGCAGCTCAGCTCTTTTCTTTAGCTCCTTCCTTGTCCAGAGAATGGGGTAGGAATGGGATGGAGGGAAGGTGAGAAGGTGAAATTCACAGTGCAGAGTGGAAGATTGTGATCATGCATTTAAAGTCATATGCAATAGCAGTTCTGTCAACAAATCTTCCTATTACTGTAATCTTATTTCCCACTAACTCTTGTTATTATAAGAAATTAATTTTCATCATACTCTCTAAGTGTATCTCCTTCACCCCTCCTCCAATATCAAATAGTTAATAATGTAACATAATAATATCGTATGTGCTTCAAACTATTTAACCATGCAAACACATATCCCACATATATCAGCTATGTTTTCTTTTTATTTCTGTGTTTATATTTTCACTCAATGTATATTTTAATGGGTATAATATAATAGTATGTTGTAAGAATGAGATTATGATTTTAATATATTTATAATTACTCTGCCCTAGCACAACCAATTTCTTTTTTTCTGAGCATCCTTTTAGTTTTTATTAACATATATAGAGTATCTATTTATCATCAGAGCATATAATTTTATATTCTGCTTTTGTTATCATTTTTCTTATTGCTACCTATTTATCACTTATGGCTACTTAATGCACCATGCAATTTCTATACCCACATTTTCTTAAATGCTTTCCTGTTGGATATACAAATAGTTTCTATTATTCACTATTATAAATACAGATCAAGCAGCCCGAATCGGAAATCTAAAATGCTCCCAAATCCAAACCTTTTTGAGCACCCACATGGCACTCAAAGGAAATGCTCCCTGGAGCATTTCGCATTTTTGGGTTTTTGGGTTAGGAATGCCCAACAAGTGCAAATATTCCAAAATCTGAAAAAATCAGAAACCTGAAACCCTTCCGATGCCAAGCATTTCAGATGAAGAATACTCAGTCTGTAATGTTACGGTGATCAGTTTCCTAGGAATGCCGTTTTTCTGACTTTAAATTATTTCCATGGACTAATTGGTGAGTGGGATTACTAGGTCCATAGATAGGAATATATTTAAGGACTCTTACTATAGATACGGGTCAGATTGGTTATTTGATGGGCTGTGCATATTTATAGGACCAGTAGAAAATATAAATTTATTAGTTCTTTTTGCAAGTCTCATCTTCACTTTTTGTTCATTATAATTGCAGTGAATGTACATTGTACTTACTATTTGAGAATTAGTGTGGCTTCATTAGAAAAATCACTTACATATCAGACAAGCAGATTCAAATCCCAACTCAGGCCACTTCCTGTTGTATGTTAAGTGGACGAGCCTCTCACAAAAATAGTTTCTTTCAATGGCAAATTGGTAACAATGGTGTCTCCCTTACAAGATTGTTGAAACGATTTGGTGAATTAATCAATGTCTGGTGTGTTCATGGCCATACAGAAAATTATTACTCCTCCTCACTATCTCTGCTTCTCTAATTTTATCTACCTCCCCTTCCACTCCTGACTTCTTCTTGCATCGATTATCCATTCGAGTTCTTTCGGTACAAAGTTTTCTAGACTCCACTTTCTCATGCCAGAATTTATGTTAATAGGGGTCAATTATCAGTGTTCTCTAGAAACCTGATCTCTCGATAGCAAGTGCTGAATTAGGTTGCAAATCACTGAGGTCACTTCTGTTCACCCCGTGACTTTTCTTGTGTTCACCCAACCAAATGGGAAATACATTCAGAATTAATACATTTTCGTAAATTGCTCATTTTTGAATGGTTTGTATAGTCCAATTTCTCATTTAAACATCTTATCCAAGTTTCTGCCCATTAGGTTTCTCAGAGACTTTTTGACTTGTGTTTCTGCTTCTTTGTCTTGGTTTCAGATAATACTTCAGTTTAATCTTCTATTTGTTGCATCCTACCCAAGGACAACAAGCTTAATTCTTGTGATAGCAAATGTAGTTTGTCAAGAAGTGCAAGCCAAGATCATTGTCAGAAGTTACATCTCAGAATGGTACTGCCGTTTGGATCTTGTCTGTCTCATACCCAGTGTCTGTTTTCTAGGCATTATTACTCATTGTTGTCTGGAAATTGGTTTTTATCTTGAGGGAATTTGTAGTAGAAACTGCCTTTTAAAGCAATCACTCTTCTTTAAAGTCAAAAGTAATTTCTAATACGTTATAAGGTGTCAGAAAGGCTGTACCAAGCATACAGTTTTTCAATTGGAAATGCATTAAAAATATCAAATTCTGTCCTCTTTCATGAGGGTGAGGCAATTTGGGGACTGCCAAAAGATTTTCTAGTCTCTTACCTTCATGATAAGATATTGAGCTGTGTAGGAAATATTCTAAGCAGTTCCACTTTAGGAGTTTAAAAGAAAAAATGGGAGGGAGGGAAGAGGAAGGGGAAAAATTCCTCTGCAATGTTCCCAGCTTCAGCAACTGTATTTGACAGCTCTGGAGAATCCCAGAGGCTCCTTTAGATATTATTTCATATGAGCCTTCTCTCATTAAGTGTCATAGAGAAGATTTCTTCATTTTTGCATTATTAAGCCTGCTTTCCCCTCATATCGATGCCCACTATCCCTGTTTTCGCCTATTACAAATGAGTGCTAGCCTCTTTTTCTACCTAAATAAACAAGGCAGCTCTAACTTCTCATTGGCATCAAAGACCCTTGCCCCAGAAGCTACACCAGCAAAGTTACTAAAGTACGAAGGATCTCAGAGGCGGAAATCACAAGGTTTGAGAGAAGCTCATATATAACAAGTATGCAGTGGAAATTTGAGGATCATACCCAGCTGGATTCAGACAGAATGACCAGGTTTTCTGTAGTTACTGGACAGTACAAAGTAGCCTGACATGTCTGCCATGTGTATTACAGAGAAGTCTATTATTGAAACTCACAAGGTGAAAAATGTGGACCTGATCACAGTTGAGTGTGTCTGCCCCATGCTTGCATTTATGGCATTGGAAACAGGAAGGGTGAGATTGGAAACAGTCCAGTTCTGCCCAGAGCCCACTCTGCAGCATGTAACAGCAAAGCACTCACTGTCAAGAAATCGTGTCTATCGTGGTCATACCACATTCATCATTGTGCCACACTTAACTTCTTCAAGAACGCTGGCATCATAGCTCTCCTTGTGTTGTAAGGGGGACTGGCCCCCAGTTTTAGCCTCTACTCCAAGTCTGCACAAATCACCCTGTGGTATTGGGCAAGCTCCTTAACCTCAGTTTCCCCTAGCACATGGTAGAGGCGAACTTACATTGCCCAACCTGCAGAGAGATTGTGAAACCAGAATGAGATAATGTGTGCAAAGGATTTTGGAATGAGTTTCAAATTCTGAAACTTCTTGGGGTGTATGCTTTCATTTGTGCCGTTAGTCTGATTTGCAATCATTTCCATCTATAAAAGGATGTTCTGCCACATCATGAGTGTAAGTTTGATTTTCCTCATCTCGTTATGAGCCCCCATTGGGGCAGCTTTCAGAACATGCCATTCCCCCTCACAGCCTCCTGCAGGGGAGCATGACAGCTAGATCTGTTTCTCCTCCCTCCCCATCCCATTTCCCTTTGTCTGTCCATCACTCTCCTACACTGCATGTAAGACTCAGGTTAAAGACCCTCTGCTCTGTGACATCGCCTTCTTATCTCTCTGCACCTTGGACTGGCAGTGATTTAGCTTTCCACATCCTAGATGGGAGTGATCTACATCTAACTTGGCCTCTTTCCCTCATTAGACTTGGCTTTTCGAGAAGAAGACCAAGCCTCTACTTAGTATTTTAACCCAATACCTGCTTTATATTATTTGCTTTGTAAATATTGATCGAAATGATGAGTGAATGTCAAATACTTGTTGCTATGAAATAAGTTGAATCGGTAAAGTGAGTGATTCTTAAATTACTTGCTATAAAACATTAGGGGGAACTCATACTATTTGTGTCTCATTTTGTGCTGCTCTAACAAAATACCACAGACTGGGTAATTCACAATCAACAGACATGTATTGCCTTGTAATTCTGGGGGCTGGGAGGTCTAAGATCAAGGCACCCGTATCGGGCCTTCTTGCTGAGTCACCACAAAGCAGAAAAATGCGTGTCTTCACATGGCAGAAGGCAGAAAAGCAAAAGAGGAAAAGAGGGAGAAGGGAGATACTCAATGTTTTGTAACAGCATTCTCCCACCCATGAGGTCACAGCCCTCATAGCTTAATCACCGCTTAACGGTCCCACCTCTTACTACTGTGACACTGGCAATTACATTTCAGTATGAGTTTTGAAAAGGACAGTCGTTCTATACAAAACCATAGCAGCTTTGTATGAACCTAATAATATAAATGTATGTATGTTATGTGTACATATTTGTGGGGGAAGCTTATAAAATACTGCCAATTATTGGAAGTTTCAAACTGAGGGCAGGTGACCATATGGCAGAAACCATAAGCTGAGGCATCTGTGTTGAAAAGGAGGTTACAGTGTCTCATTGCCTCCCCAGTAACTGCTGTGGATCACTCCCTCAGTGGGACACCAACAGGTGTCATAGAATAAAAGAATTCCTTGATGAAGTATATTAGGAAATGCTGGGATAAATCTCCATTTTTGAAATCCATCATGTAATTAATATTCCATCTCACAATTCAGTGATCTGAGTGTACTACTTGTTCTTTTATCTTATTTTAAACTTATCCCTTCCCTGTTTCATTTTTAGCTTTTGCTGTGGCGTGGCACCTGGTCTCTTTCTAGAAGGAAAGTTCAACAAACAGCACAGTTCTGGACACATTGTATTGGTTTGATGATCCTACCTGGAACAGGTATGTAAAACCTCCAATACATGGTTACTGACACTTTTGAATCATAACTACGGATGTATATTCATTCCAGTGGATTACTGAGAATGGAATATGGTCTGAACAATTAAATTCGTGTGTCAGAGATGACTTTTGTCTTTTCTACTTAGAAGCATATGTTTATATTTTGGCATCTACAACTCCAGAAGACTACTTCATTTTCTTGGTTATATGATATGGTTATATGATAAGCTCAAATTAAGATTATAGTCATTCAAAGAGAGAGGGGAAAGTCTACAGTTATATGGTTCTGAAAATAAGATTTATCTAAAAATCTATGGAAATCAAATGAATGAAATATGACTGGTACTCTGGTATAAGTATAGTATTTGTAGTCCAAAATTATTACAGAAAAATATCAACTTCTTTCCCCTCCCCAAATTAGTCCAGGCTTAGAGAAAATTGTGTAATAACTCACAGGATAAAAATGACTACATATGTGAATTAATTAACAGAATTAAATCAATTAATTGACTGCTCGAACACTAAGATTTTGTGACAGTTACTCCCTTGGTGTATGCCAACATAAATATTACATAAAAACAAAACAGTATGGTGTTTGATAATATTAATGTTTAATGAATTCTCTTGAAGGGGATATTCTGAAAGTAGATTCTCACTATATATAAATATGTCAGCCTGTAGCTTCTGTCTAATTCAGACTTACTTGGATGAGCACTGTTTGTGAGTATGTAACGTAGATAGGTAGATGGATAGATAGATGAATAGAGACATAGGTACCTCACGACACCTATTACATAATATATGTATGTGTGTGTGTTTGTATATATAGTATGCAATGACTCAGGGATACTTTATTACAAGATTGCTTGCTTGTATGCAACTTTTAAAAATACTATTAGAAATATAGCAGGCTTGTTGAAATACTTGTACATATTTGGAAAAGTTTCCCATAAGTTATATTTTCAACAGGAAAACTATATAACAACTCACCTGCCTCTGCCTCCTCCCTCACCTCCATAAAAAGCATGTTGAAAATGAAGTTTGGGAAATTGGGAAGTAGCACAGAGGAGAATTAATCAGGTGTGAGCTCAAGACCTAGCTCTACTGCTTAACCATGGCCTTGGGAAGGTTTCTGTACTTCCTTGGGAAGCCTGTTGTTATTTAAATCTGAACAGGAGGGAGGGAGAGTGAGAGAGAGTAGAAAAATTCACCTCAAATTGCAATGTCCCAAATGTACCAGGTCACGTTTATTCTTAGAGATGTATGAAGTAATTAACGGATGTGTTTCTAAGGTTTTCCAAAAAGGTTTACTTTTACATCTGTGAGAGTCTGAAATCCGTGATTAGAGATCAATGGCCCTGATTTTAAGGCAGAAATTGCAACTGGTCATCTACTTGTCAGATCCACCTTAGTTCATTTATTTTGTTATTTGTTTGGGGACTACACAAATTTGTATGCATGATAACTAAGAAATTGCCAAACCAAAAAATCAGGACAGTTCACATAAAAATCTGGATTCCCAGTCTTCTCTTTCTCTGTAAATGATCAGAAATTCTTCATTTTAATTTCTACGTCTAACCCATCCAGTCCTTCACAGTTCACTCTGAGCCCGTAGGTCTCAACCCTCACTGTGAAGAGATACTGGTGCTCAGGCTTCACTGCAGAAAATTAAATCAACACCTTTCAGGGTGGACCGCGGGCTTCAGAATTTTTAAAAGTTCCTCAAATTATTCCATGGTGCAGCCACTGCCCTAATACCTTCCCTTCTCTTCGTGTAAAAATATCCCCCAAGTCCAAGTCACATTCCTCACTTCCTCATCTCACCACTCTTCTCTGATAGTCCATGAATTATCTTATTTCTGTTCTTGTCCTATTCAATCCATGCTTCATCCAATAGCCAGAGTAATTGTCTTTATAGAAAATACCTGGTTGACTGCTGCTTCACCATCTTCAATAATAATAATAATAATTTAGGGTGATCATTTATACTTAGGTTGAATGAGGAATCTGACTTCAGTCTTTGTTGAAGGATTGAGTCATTGAAACATTAAATTTTGGAAGCAGATGGAAGAAGACTACAAAAGCTGTAGCAGTACCTTCTGCTTGGTCTTCTCCTCCCAGAAGTGACCCATAGTGATCCTTAGGCCAAAAGTCATTCACAAGTATAGAAATGGCATACATTGCTTACCTGTCCCAGATTGCCAACCAATCAGGGTCCTGATTGCACCTTACAGAGGATCAAAGGGATGTTGTAATTTGGTAGTGACACTACGATAAGATTAACTTGATGTCACAGCTACCAAAGTGTATTAAATGTCTCTCCTTCCTAAGTTGCATGATTCACCCAACAAAATTTGATATGGGTGAATTTTTAGGCAGAATAACAGAATTTGTTGTGCGTGTGTGTGGTTGGAGTGCTTATAGCTGAGGTCTTTTCTCCTGCTGCTCAGATATGTAGATGACCTTCTTTCCCACTAATAAATAACATTTTATTTGAAATGTGGAGAAGACCTTTTTTTTCTCCTAAGTGACCTTATAAACCATTTGTATTCATTTGTTTTCATGCTGCTGATTAAGACATACCCAAGAGTGGGAAGAAAAAGGGGTTTAATTGGACTTACAGTTCCACATGGCTGGGGAGGCCTCAAATCATGGCGGGAGGTGAAAGGCACTTCTTACATGGCAGCAGCCAGAGAAAAATGAGGAAGAAGCAATAGCAGAAACGCTTGATAAACACATCAGATCTTCTGAGACTTACTCACTGTCACAAGAATAGCACGGGAATGACCGGCCCCCATGATTCCATTCCCTCCCCCTGGGTCCCTCCCACAACACGTGGGAATTCTGGGAGATATGATTCAAATTGAGATTTGAGTGGGGACACAGCCAAACCACATCACTATTGTTTTAGCCACTGAAATCTTTCCTGTAGACCCTTATGCGCGTGGTTACATTTCCCATCGGAAGGGAAGACGATGGGGTGTCATAAGAAAGTTTTCTTCAGAAAAGATACCTTTGGAGGTATTTTAATTGGGATTTATAAAGAAATTGATAAATTCAAACCACATTGAAGCTAAGTGGAAATTTGGTTCTGTGCCAACATTCCTGGTGCATGGCCCAATCAATTACTATTTTATCCTGGTGACAACTTTTGTCTCTAATATGAAACCATCAGTGTTTCACGATTTACACTATAAAAAAGATCAAGCCCCTGTGTTTAAAAATGTAACTAAAAACATGTATATGACATTCAAATAACTGAGACCAATAAAGATGTTATAAATTAGGCTGGGTGCAGTGCTCATGCCTGTAATCCCAGCACTTTGGGAGGCCACGGTGAAAGATTCAGTTGAGATCAGAAATCAAAACCAGCCTGAGCTGAACATAGTGACATCCTGTGTCTACACAAAAGAAATTTAAAAATTGGCCTGGTGTGGTGGCGCACACCTGTAGTGCTAAATACTTGGGAGGCTTAGGTGGGAGGATGGCTGGAGCCCAGGAGTTTAAGATTACAGTGAGCTATGATCATGCCACTGCACTCCAGCCTGTGAGCAAGAACTGGTCTCAAACAAACAAACAAAAAAAGATGTTATAAGGTGTTGAATCAACATGTGAGGCATGGTTACCTTCTTTATTTAAATTATTTTCATCAGCAAAGCTAAAGTGTGTTTGCGGATCTAATTTACTCAAACGATATGCCTGTGCAGAGCTATTCTGTGATCAAAAAAACAGTCGATCTTTTAAGCTTCCATATTTATTTTGGGATAAAAATGGGGACCAAAATACAGAGACACACAAACACATACACACTGAGCATCTTTAGAGGCACATTACGGAACAGTGCTTATTAACGAGATGTCTTTGTGTGTCCTTCTGGGATCAAGGTGGACTGGCCTTGTGTACAATTCTTCTCCTTCGTGAATAGAGCTGTAATGAGGTCACAGATTCCTTTCATGTCATTTTAGGAATTTCTTTGAAAGGATTCAGCAGCAATGTCCCTTATATGTTAGAGTTGTACATTAGTACAGGCAAAGCTTTTCAACTAATGTAAAGCACCATTTTTTTCTTCTAAATTCCTTCTATTCTCAAATGTCTGGGTTCAGAATAAAGGAAAATTAAAATCTCTGAAAAAGCCATCATTTTGCCACTACATGGAAGAGTTATTGGGAGATAAATTAATAGTATCTGAAATTAACCTTGGATTAAGCTTACTTCCTCTTGAATGCTCTACTGCTTGTTTTATTTGCTATTAACTCCCTTTAATCAGAGAGTTTCTCTAAAACTGGCATGCTATTGGTTAGGAATCATTAAAAAAACTAATGTAAAATATAAATATGCCCTCTGTTTATTATATGGCAGATACAACATGGACACTTGGTAATTTTGAGTTGATTAAGATTTGTATTATTTTATGTTAATACAACAAATGCTTCAAAAATATGTTTGTTAATGTCTACTTACTGTTACAGCAAAATTTTTTTAATCTGTTATTTCTCTGGCACCTTTTATTGACTTTTTGATTTTCATTGACACATAATAATTGCACATATTGATGTTTGGATACATGTGTACATTGTACAAAAATGTAATTAGGCTAGTTAACATATCGCGTCACCTCATTTATTTGTTGTAAGAACATCCAACATCCTGTCTTCTAGCTACTTTGAAATAGACAATACAGTATTGTTAACCACAGTCACCCTACTGCGTTATAGAACATCAAGACTTATTCCCCCTTTTTAAGTGTTACTTTGTACCCATTGACCAATGTATTGACTTTTGGGTGTGATTATTTTGGAACAAAAGATGTATTCTCCCAACATCCTCAATGCTTAAGCCATATTAGACTTTAGTAAATATTTGTGGAATGAGTAAATGAATAATTCACATCCAATGCATTTTTATTTTAAACACAAGCAGATGACATTATACCAAAGCTAGGAAGTGACTTAACCAATGAACTAGATGTCTGAAGTAATGAGCAATAGAAATGGCAATTC